TTGGATTTTTCTGTGTCTTCAAAAATCGGGTAGGGTTTGTGTTGTGGGTGGTTCGATTCAAGAAAAGAACCGTGGTGGGTTAGGGTTCTGTGTCTTCGACTTATTATGAAGGGCGGTCTAGATTGGTGAAGGGATTTGGAAAGAGCGGTTGAGATGGGGGTCTAGATGGAGGTGGGTTTTCTTGGACGGTTTGAGTGCTAGGGTTTTTTTTCTTCCTTTCTGATCTTTCTCACGATTCTGCCTCTGTCTCTTGTTTCCCTTCTTTTCTTTCTTTTCTCACTTTTCTTCTTTTCTTCTTTGGGCCATTGGTTGGTTGGTTTTCATCTGGCCCATTCTTTTATTTTCTTCTTTTGATTTGGCTTTTTCACCTTTGTTTCTTTCTTTTCTCACTTTGGGCTTCTGATCAACAAAGGATTGACCCAATTTTTCTTCATTCTTTTTGCTTGGAGAAATAACACTAATTTGGGCCTGAAACATACAAAATCAGCCCATTAGTATTAAAATCACAATTCTTCACTTCAATGCAATATTTGGGGTTTTAATTTACAAAAGATATCCTTTTCCTTCCCATTTTAACATCAAAACACATGTTCAAAGTCACAAATCATGGACTTATCACTGCTGCACTACTTATCCTCAATGAATAGTTTGGTTTTCTTCCCAATACCATTGCAAAGTGTTCAATCAATGGTATAGGTGCCTTTGAAATTTCCTCTAGATAAGACTCACCAATATTTCTCAAATCGTCCTAGAAGAAGAATAGTAATAAAAACAAAAAAAAAATAAAAATAAAAATATTTTTCATTATGATACATATTCACACATAAATGTGGAAATAATATTTTATTGTATCATCAAACAAATAGACAAAAATAATAATAGGGATACAATAATATGGGAACAATCAATAATATTAAGGATACAAGTAATATTATTTGAAAAGTAATAGCATGTTGTACAAATATCAATCTCAATATGAGTATGACGCATCATATAGATTTGAAATGTTTCAAGAATTTGATCTATACTTGTACCACATACCCATAAAAATGCTACTAGTTTGCATTAACAAAATGGGAGCAACAAAGTAATTAAACCAAACTATTATTTCCTTTGAAAAAATAATTAACTAAATCACTACGATAAAAAATCCAACCATCTTATCATAAAAGATATGAAATAGAATAAACTCATAGGTATAAGCAATCAATATTATAACTAATAAAATCAAAATCATATCGTACAAAATCATCGAAATTTCTTAAAAAAGCAAATAAAATTCATAAGCAAAATAAAGCACGATAGTTTTTATTACTTACAATAATTTTTTTGCCATTTGGAATGCACCAACCATGGAACCAATGTACTCAAAATGAAGATTTTAATATTTTGAAGATAACAAACAAGCTCGGGAGAAGACCTCAAGTGGTATACATGTTATAACAATAAAAAAGAAGTCCAAGGTAGCAATTCAACAAGTTAACAATGACAAAACCATCAAGTCAAATGACCAAGTCCAAAGAGAGATCAAGAATCAAGCTTCAATGGAAGAACCTAAGTCCAAGAACCTACAAGTAGTATATCTATAGGACTTATACTTAAATGTAAAGGTAATTGATTAATCTTGCATGAATGAGCTCAAAGAATACCTATTTTTATACTTGCATTGTCAACATCTTTAAACACTTAAAAGATATTTGAAAATCTCATGAAAAAACATAATTGACATGCTTTATAACTTCAAAACATTTTCATTAAGTCAAGGGTTTACATAAAAAGCGGTTGGAGGCAAGTTGAAGTGCATTTGAACTCTAAAAGCTGCATTTTCATTTGCTGTCAAGAAAGTATTCGAATACTTTCTTGACAAGTAATCGAATACTTTTACTGAGAACAAAAGTAATTGATTACTTATCAAAAAGTAATCAAATACTTTTCTGGAAACAAAAGTAATTGATTACTTCTCAAAAAGTAAATGAATACAGGCGTATTTGAAATGTGTTTTTAAAAATAGTCTTTTAAATTTCAGAATAAAAAAACATGTTTGATAAGGCCTGTTTTATAAAAATAGTTCTAAGAACTATAACTGCTTTTTAGTTTTTAAAAATCAAATTTAGAGAGTATATATCTGAGTTATTTTTATTTTGTGTTTCAAATTTTAACTTTCAAAATAAAAAAATACAAAAAACACCTATTTTATCAACTATTTTACAAAATAGTTTTAACAACAAAAAAGCCCAAAACACAATCAAACATACCCTAAGTTAATGGAATTAGTAAAGTTCATATCAAAATAATATATATATGTGTGTGTGTGGAAAAAAGGATTGTCCTTTTTTTTGGTATGCAAAAGGATTGTCCTTTTAAAAGACATAAGTTGTGTCCTTTTAGACACTTCTAACTATTTACTCTAAAGTTGTACTTTTTTTCTCTCTTCAGAAACAGTGGCTGGCGTAGAAAGTGAAAAAATAATAATTTTAATATGATAATTATGTACTCCCCATAGTACATAGTTATAAGTTTCTAAAAGTACACAACTTGTGTCCTTTAAAAGGATATGTGTGTCTATGTGTGTGGAAAAGTTTTTCTCCTCTCCTAGGAGTTAAGTTATCTCCTCCAACCCTAAAATTGCGTCGTTTTGAGGGTCGCGGAAAATAATGAAGGATTTTTTGGTAATTTTATTTATTTATTTATTATATCAATTTTACCAAAACACTTTTCATTAATTTCCCAAATCCTCAAAACGATGTTATTTTTGGGGTTACCATAGATAACTTTATCTCATGTGAAATATATATATATATAGGGGTAGGATCCTTTGACACCGATGTCAAACTTTGAAATTTGACATAAAATCCTAACTGTTGATTTTGCCAATCAGCGACTATCATTTATTGAGAATCAAACTCATTAATTAATTATTAACTCCCAATAAATGATAACCGATGATTGGCAGAAATCAATGGTTAGGATTTGGTGTTAAATTTTAAAGTTTGACACCGGTGTAAAAGAATCCTATCCCATATATATACTATATATGGTAAAATTATTTCTTTAGCTGCTGGACATCTAGCAATAAATCTTAAACCGTTGATTGATTATGATTCTCCGTATTTATTGCTTTCACCCACCTTTGTATGATTATGATTTCCTAAATTTATTTGCTGGACGTCAAGCGGCTGGAGAAAAGTAAAGCCCTATATATATGTGTGTGTGTGTGTGTCCACGCGCGCGCGCACAATTGAAAGAATCAGAAGAATCAACAAATCTTAGTAACAAAAGTCTCAAAAATAGCTAAACAGTGATCACCCTCATTAATTACCAGTGTTGTTAGACCCGGCTCAAACCAGCCAGGTAGACCCGGTAAACCGGTTATCTGATCGGTTCGAGTCAAGTATCAAACCAACCATGTATTAGACCTGGTGAAAATTGGTTCAAACTGGCAGGATTTTATCAAAACTGGTGACCCGGTCGGGTCATCAAAATCGGGAGGTCGTGCATTTTTATATTTAAAAAAAATCAAAAATCAAAGTTGTCTCATATTGTCTTGAACTCATGTTACCAAAAAAAAAGTGTGGAACTCCTTTCAATTTTTTTTGTAGTTTTGTTTGCTAGTAGTATACTCTCGTACACTGACCTCAACTTTCAGCTTCAAAGACTGCAGCAATTTGCGGACAGTAGATTAAGAGAATGTGACATATTGCAAATCCATTTTTATGGGAAAAGTTGTTGTTAAATGCCTTATAATTATTAAACATAGTTAGTTAAGGGTATTTGGTAGATGAATTATATGTAGTTACCTGATACTTGAATTTTCTTTTTTTTTGTTTATTTCTTTTACAATATACTATATGTGGTTACTATATATGACTTTTTTTATCTCTACAAAAATTATATATGTTTGATGTTGTGCATAACAATTTTTTACATGTAATTAAGTATTTTTATGTATAAAATATAGGTTTTTATGTACTAACTCGGGTCGTGCGGTTCAACCGATGGGAACCGGTGACCCACCGGTTGAACCAGTGGCCCAGTACCCCGACCGAGTTAATAACCGTGTCGGGTCTAATAACATTGGTATTTAGTTAGATTATCCACGCATTTGACATACTTAAAAAAAATGCAAAACAAATCATAAAAAAATCATTTCAACCCAACAATTAAAGTTTTAGGTAGGGATGTGCATGGGTCAGGTCGGGTTGGGTTTTTGTGCCGACCGATCCAACTTGATTTTTATAGGTAAGGTATTTAACCCAACCCAGTTTAATTTGATCCAAGTCAGGTGATCTGGTTTGAATTTTTTTGAACTAGTTCAGAACCGGGTTAAATCTGACCTGACTTGATTTCTGAAATAGGTTTGACTTGGTTTCAAAATCGGGTCAAATCCGACCTGACCCGTTTTTGACTTGGTTTCAAAACATGTTTTTGATTTGATTTTTTATATAATTATTGATTTAATTTTTAAACTCATGTAATTTAATTATTTATTTATTTTAAAATATATAAATTATATAATATATTTGATATTTGTTGAATAAATAAAAGGAATGTAATTTTTTTAACAAAAAAAGTTATTTAATTTTAAAATCCAAATACCATATTTTATCAAAAACCTTAAATGCTAAATAAGCTTAATTTTTAAAAATTTATATGATCTGCAATTTATATATAATCTTCTCATTTGCACCACAAAATACATGGTAGGTAGGGATTGGTAGACACACTAAAAATTAGCATTCAGACCAAACACCGAAATGCATCACGAAAAGAGTTCAGCAAATTAAAATGCAATATTATGGCGATCAAACACTAAAACTCCCTCAAATTTTATGGATGATAGTTGAGCATTGTCACAGTTTATGAAGTAGAAAAAATGAAAATAAGACACTACAAAAAAATGTGTTATTTGTGGAGGTTATTTATTGGAGTTCGTTAAAACCACCAAAAAAAAAGAATTTAGATTGTGGCACTTTTAATGAACGCCACATCAAAGACGAAGAAGAAGAAGGTTTTAATGAAACCGAAACGGGTCTTTCGGAATGGGAACCCACACTACAAGAAACACGGCGTTTAGCTACACTGGTTTAGCCACTTCATATCAGATCCTTACGAATGTGGCAAAATCACAAGTGGATTACTATTTTTTTTTGCTGGGCAGAGTGATTCGAGCTTCTAATTTGCGTTTTGCGTGCTCTAAATCAGTAAAGTAGAAAAACTGTTTTCCCCGTTTATGTAGTCTAAGTGCGAATCGCTTTAAGTTTTGTGCGTTCCATATCTAGCGCTAAAGATAGCTTCAAATCCTTCGTCTTCCTATTAAGTTCTCCTTCGTCTTCCACGTTCTGTTCACTATCGTCCTTCTTGCATTCACCTTTCTCTATTCAAGCTTCTTCACTTTCTTCTCCACCTTCTGATTCGAATTCAAGGTTGGTCAAACCCTAAACCCTAATATATGCATCTGGTTTGAGGTTCATACATTGTTGCTAATTTAAGGTTTGAATATCTAATGCTCTAATTTTTCTCCTTTTTTATTTTCTAGGGTTTTGATATTGAAGTTTATTTTTTCAAACGACTTAACTTTTTAAGCTGAGAACTAATATGTAAGTAAAGGATTTTGTTTTAATTGTTTGATTAATTTAGAAAGAAGAGTTGCTCAACAACTTGGATTGGATGATCCATCCACGATTAGGCTTAATTTAGACCTTTTTTCATATTTTCTAAAGTTTTTTTATTTTATTTGTTTATTTAGGTGGGTTGTTCATACCATCAGACTCCCAAAGCAGAGTATTGTGGCGGATATCCTTGATGATCTAAAAACAAAGGTAGCTTTGTGTGATTTTTGCTTTATGGCTTTATTTGATTTTTTTTCCATGTTTGCATGTTTTGTGCTGTTGTTGTAGGGTTATGTAAAAACAAAGTTGAATTTCACCATGCAGAGTATTATGTGCCTTGTTAGAATTTAGAAAACTATGACTTTAACAGCTTCACTGTGTGATCTGGAGCACTATTTCTAGATAAAAAGAAGAAGAAGAAGCTGGTTTAGATGAGGTGAAGTTACATCCTTATATATATATACACACACACACACACACGCACACACGTGACTAGGCAATCAGAAAAGAAAATCAAATGTGAATTGTCTCGTGAATCTTTGAAATCTCTGCATTTTTGTGTACAATGGTTTAAGTACTGATACATGCTGGCTTGGACAGGATCCTGAAATCAAGCCATTGATGGTTATAACAAACAATCATGCAATAGAGAACTTCGTAGATTAAGTGCCATTAGACCAGAATTAATTACCTCATCTAAAGATTCAAGGAGGAAGGATACTTATTACGGATTTTAGCACTACTTGGAGTTTCTGTAGCATCCTCCAATGCAGATGCAACACACTTCTCTGCCAGTGTAAATCCTTGCATGATCCTTGGTTTTTCTTAGAATATTACAGTTTCATGTTTCTGTCTTCACTAATGAATTTCTTTCAAACCTTATCTTTAATTGATTTATAATACTAATTCCTTTCTAAAATTCAAAATCTTAGCTAATTTCACTATATTTGTCTTCTAGAATTTTTCATACACCAGTGTTAACTACTATCTTTGGCTATTTTATGAATAATTAGTTAATTACAAATGTAAATAAAAAATTTTTGTCTGCTAATATTTTAATTCCAAGCCACAATAATTAACATTTGCTCAATTTTACTTCTAATACTCTCTTTTTTTGGGAGGGGAGGGTGTTAAGAAAATGAACCAACAATTGATGTATAAATATTAAAATGGATTTATTTTTGCACAGGCTGCTTTCGGGAAGAGACTTAAAATTGACTGAATGCAGAACTAGTTAATCTTTGCACAGAGTAGGATCATGGCGATGGCGTGGATAGCGTTGACGGCGTTGGTGCTGCACACGGTGTTCAGCTGGTTGCTCATGCTGAAGCTAGGTTGGGGACTGATGGGTGCTGCGGTGGTGCTCAACTCGTCGTGGTGGTTCATAGTGGTGGCTGAGCTTGTTTATATATTGAGTGGGACATATGGTGAAGCTTGGACTGGATTTTTCTTCCAAGCCTTTCAGAATCTTTGGGGTTTCGTTCGTCTCTTACTTGCTTCTGCTGTTATACTATGGTGATCTCATTTTTTTTATATTAATCATTTTATTTATTTATTAATTATTAAATTAGTTAACTTTGAGCCCCGTGGAATCTTTTGAGACCTCTAATTAAGTAGAAAAAATTTCTTAAATATTTATTTATTTATTTCACTTTTATTGCTCGCCTTGTTTTTCACGTGTACAACTATTAATTGTGTTTTTTTTTATAATTTTGTTTGACCGAGATTTTTTATATTTTTGTGCAGCCTTAAAGTCTGTTCGTTGGATATCCAAAGAATGCAGAAGTTTCAGTCGATGCTTTGTCTATATGGTGAGTCACTCTTACTCTGCAAAGTGAGTCACTTTGTCTATATGCTTTGTCTATATCGCTAGATATCACATGTAATAGGCCAAAGATCTCTCTTCTCAAAGCAGATTCTTGCCTCTGCAACATTTTGCTTCAATTTGCTCCTTTGACTCCAAGTTATCATCTCATTCTTCTCCAACCTGTTATAAGAGTATGTACCACTTCAATACAAATTTTAACAGACGTATTCATCGTATTTAATTTTATTTCAAGTTTTTGTTTCACGAAGTAAAATCACACATTCTAATCAAGAAAAAAGAAGGAAAAAAAAACTTAAAGCCAGAGATATATGTGATATTTTATTAGACTTCCTATGTTTTTGATTAATTATCTGTCATTATAAATAATAATTCATGTGATTTGTATAATCTAATATCAGTTAACCCCCAAAACAATACAAATATATATTAAAAACTAAATGATGTTAATTTAATGACTTTTAAATACAAATATTGTTAAAAACTATAATAAAAGCGAAATGCTCTTACCCAAACCATTACGAATGATGTTATTAAATATTTAATTTATTAAAGTATTCATGGTTTTGTTGGTTAGCTAAATGAACATGTCAGTAAATCATAATAATATAAACATTTCGTGTTTAGATTAATGTTGTGAATTCTTCTTTGGTTATCTTTTTCTATGTCGTTATTTCTTCGTCTTCTTTCTTCATATGATGCTGAAACTTATTGTAGACTTGCTTTTCCCAAATCTTGAATATTTTACTATGCTCCTGTATCTTGAATATTTTACTATGCAACTGCTCTTGAAGTTAGAGCCACTGGAGTTCAATATGCCTTTGCACCTTGCATTGCGATAATTGAGAAAATCCAAGTTATGACAAACAATATATGTTTGTTCTTATAAAGGGCCTCTTACCTTATACCATATTTGTTTGAATAGCTCTGTAGAGATCCAAGGTGGGGACGATGTTATGAAGTTATAGTGAAGATCATAAAGTAGTTCAAGCTATGACTGAGATCATTTCAGGATTGTAAGGTGAAATCCCTGCAAACTCACGAAAGGGTGTTCCGTTTGTTGGTGGAAAGTAAGTAATTCATGATGTTGTAGGAATTAGTCTAGTTCTATATCTGTGTTTTAGTTGCTTTCATTGCCTGCTGCTATGCTGATGAACTTGCTTGTCTAATTATAAAATGCCATGCTTTTTGATGTGCATTGGAAATTAAGGATTTTTTTTTATCATCAAGTGAGCCTTGAACATTTTTTTTCCAGGGGATTCTCTTGACAGGACCACCGGGAACTGGAAAAACTATGCTAGCCAAGGACTGTAGTTTAGTAATGTTCATATCAGAAAAGTAAAAAAAAAGTAAGTGTATACATGTTAGGAAATCTGGTTTAGCAATTTAACTTATGGATTGTGGCATATATGATTAATGTATGGGTTTAAGTCACTACAGTTTTTTGTCATCTCAAATTTTTGTATATGAAACTTTTGTCGTACATTATTTTAAAATTCCATACTTGTCCATGTAGCTGTCATTTCATGTTATAAGGTTGTTTCCAAGTCTACTCATCATAATGAAAATCTGCAAAGTTGAAAATTCTGAGAACTGAACTCTCGGAAATTCAAATATTTGGAATGAATTTTTTTTATCCTTTTGAATAATCTACCTGATTTTTAAAAAGAAACGTAAAATTTTAAATGATATTTTTTTTAAAATTTTCAACAAATTTGTGGGGATCTTAAACCTCCAGAAACTGAAACATTTGTGGGGGTTTGGAGCCTCCAGAAAATATTTTAACAAATTGTGGCATTGCACATAAAGACCCCACAAACTATGTTGTGGCGTAGGCAAAACTGGAGGTCATTAAGGATGCCACAAATGTACTTTGTGGAGGTCAAAGACGCCCACAATATGAAAATATGACCTCCACAATATGCTTGAATTTTTGTAGTGAGAAGAGCGTGAGCTAAGAAAAGTGAAAATACTAAAGCAAAAAGAGAAGAGTGATTTGCAAAAATGCAAGAAATCTACCTCAATTACAGCGATGCCATTGTTTGTGAAGGAAATGAAATCTTCGGTGGAGTGGAAGAATGACGACAGAGAGAAGAGAGAACCCTAAAAAAAAAACTGCAATTGTGATTTCTTGTTTTTTTTTTTCACATAATGAGTGGAGGTAGTGTTGGGTCAATTATTAAAATAAGTCAGGTCTAAAACTAACCCAAATAAAAGTGGATCAATATTTAAACCCAGTTCAAAAAAAAAGGTATTTATGGATCAGGTCAAGGAGGTCAGATCAATGGCAAGGAAAATAAAAGTTTTTTTGCACACCCCTAGTTTTAGGTGAGGGTCACATTAATAATTTTGTATTGAAGTATGATCATTTGACACCAGTATCAAATTTAAAATTTGACACCTCATCTGAGAGCTATTAGAATGAAAGCACCAATGATACAGACGAAGAGTCTGTAACAGAAGTAACAAACTATGTAATATGTTATTTTCTCAATTCAATGAATTTTACAATATACCAATCAGTTCCTTTATATCTGTTTTACATGTCACACCGGCAATTAACCCACTACTCTCAATAACTACCCAATAGCCTCTATGTATTACACTTTTAACTACCCACTAGCATATACAGAAGACACTTGATTTATTGGACATAATCCTTAAACCATGTTGGGCCACTTCTCAATCTGGTTTCTCTCCTTTCTCTCGTATCAATAATCTTGTCGCTATATGACTCACTGTTTGTATTATTGCTCGATATGTAAAACCCACAAGAATAATATTCATTTTATGATATGAAGCTATGGATCATACTTTATGATATAAAGTGTGTAATATAAAATATCTAACTTATTTAACTTGAATATGCTTTAGGTATTGTATTGTCTTCAATTTGACATCTTCAATTTTTTAGTATCATCAAAACTTTTTAATCCTTAAGCTCATAAAATGTCTTCAATTTCACCCTTTTTATAATGACAACATATTTACTAAAATTGAAACAAGGTTAGTTGCATAGGTTAGATATCTCAAAGGTTCTCCGTAATGTATGCATATATAAAATAATAAATCATAAGATAATAGTGGATGCATACATACATATTTAATTTGTAATGGATCATGGTATTAGTATATTAGTGTATGCATACATATTCAATTTGTAATAGATCATGAGATAATAATGTATATGCATACTTTTTGATAGCTAGGATGTTTAATTTACCTTCCAAGTGCTTTGGTAATTTTATGGAAATATAGTTTCTCATGCACAGATAAAAAAGTGGGTGGTACCTATTTGTTTTCTTTCTCTTTCTTCTCTTTAATATGTCTCATTCACTTTGTGCGTGTCTATGAAATAATTTTGTCTCATATAACATGAGAAATTATATTCCAAAATTTTATACCTAAAAATGTGGTTTCAATTTTTCTGTTATAGGAGATAAATTTATCTTATACATACACATGAAAATATGTGGGACCTATATTTTTTCTTTCTGTCTCTTCTCTTTGCATGTGCTCCACACACTTTTATGTATATGTAGGAGATAAATTTATCTCCTGCAACATGAGAAACAATAAAACCTAAAAATATTTACCCGCATAAGTTTTACTTTGTATTTTGATAAGCTTTAAAGAAATATATGATATTTAATATTTTTTTTTAAAATTAATCTTTCTAAAATTATACGAAAAATATTAAAATTATTTGATTTAGATTTTATTTTTTTGATAAAAAGCTTAAGTAATTATTTTAATTTTTTTAAATACTTTTAATTGAAAAGCTTTTTTTTTAAAAAAAAAGTTGATTTTGTGATTCTGAGATAAAATTCAGTAAAAAAATCAATTAACGGATTAAAAGTAATTGAAATTTATATCGGCATAAAAAACTCCATTCTCTCACCTTTTTTCTATCTAAATTTTAACTATTTATAATATTAAATTAATTTATTTCATTTTTCTTATATTAAAAATTATTATTATTATTTTCAATTTCAGTTGCTCCGTTCTTATATATTAAGGTAGAGTAGTAAAAGTACATTATATTAAAACAGATTTAATCTTTTAATATACTCTTCCTTATGGGTGAAAGTGGGCTAAGCTGGTCCAAACTTTGTCCCGAAAAGCCCAAGCCTACGTCAAAAAATTTCAATTTAGCCTGACTCAAACCTAATATGAGTCTAACTATTAGCCTGACTTGACCCGTTTATAAAAAAACAAATTACCTGGCCTAACCCGTTAGCCTGTTAATTTTTAACTTCCAAGCAGAACCATGAATCAACTTTACAAAATACTCAAATTCTGTTATTAAACCAAAAATTATAATTTCAATGTCCAAACAAAATCATGAATCATAACAAAACTCATACCATCTGCATTTAAGTCACTTTCAAAAGCAAAATTCACAAACTAAATAACATATATTTCATCAGATCCAACAAATAAATCCATACTATGTAAATTAAAATAACTACATGAATCTGACAAACACATCATGATGCTTGTAGTAAGTATAACTCTCACAAAAACCTTTTAATATATTCATATACACAATCTAACATGCTGAGATGTTGGTTCCTCCTACATAAGAAATAAAATTAGATTTCTATTAAAATATAATCGAATGTAATTACGTTATAAATAATTGCAATTGATTAAATTTATGTCTTTTGTTTTTTCTTCAAGGCATATTTATTTTATTTAAAATAAATAGTGCAATATAGACCGGCATGTAGGCTTATAGGCCAGACCTTGTGAAAGTGGGCCTACGATCTTTTTATTAAACAAGCTTTTTCAAGGCCTAAGCCCAGCTTATTTTACGAAATATATTAGGTTAAGTCTGGCCTGACATAGGCCGAGCTGTAGGCCAACCCGGCCCAGTTTCACCCCCTACTCTTCCTATATACCATTCTTGACTTTCTCCTTTTATTAAAAAAAAAAATTAATTATGCATTTTTTATACATGATTTTAGTTTTTAATTATATTTATTAGATTCTACCTAAATTAATCATATATGTATCCTTTCAACTTTAAATATTTTCATTTAAATTATACTTTTTAAATTTTACGTAAGTTTAAAACATCACGCAATCCTCGAATTATTAATTATACATATTAATTCTGTTTATAATTTACATTGATAAATAACCTTTTACAATTTATAGCTTTTTATAATATTAGCCATACATTCCCTAATTTACTTAAAAGATAAAAAAAAATTAAAAAGAAGAATTTTTTTTTTTTGAGCAAAACAAATTGGGTTATGATGATGTAAATAGGTTGGATTGTTGAACTAGGATGGATTTTGGTTTAAAAAAAATTAGATATTTGTTAAAATACTTTAGGTCTGACCTGGTTTATTAGTCTTTTGTAAGTTCAAATTATAGGTTTGACCTAATCTATATTTGAAAAACAAAAACTTTAACTTAGGTCTGATAGCTTGTTTAAGTCTAGTAGGCATTCAATAATTAAAAAAATAATTAAAATAATATTATTTTATCATTTAAAATTATATTTTATTTAAAATAAATAATATGATATAGACCTTTTTATAAATATATGGATCGGATATATAAAAAAAATCTATACCCTACTTTTTAAATAAATTTTTTAAAAAACTTAAACCTATTTTATTTAATTATGGGGTTTGTTTTCCTCATGTTCTATACGAAAATAAACCCTTCTTATTACACACACCATAAAAAGATGTGGCACTCTTTTTTTATTTTTTATTTTTTAAGATAGATAGGTTCTACATTTAATATATAGACATGAGATTAAGTATAACATCAGATTTGGTTTTCCCGTGCGTTTGGTTGAGGAGAAATTTTTTGAATACTGAAAAAAATGTAATAACTAAGGAAATGGTTGAAAAGTGAGTTTGGTAGGAAAGTTAAAAAAAAGTTATTTGGTTGGTCAAAATTTTACCAGAGAAATTGAGTTTAATTTTGTGATTCTTTGTTTGGTTGAAGATGAAATAATGATGTATAAATGTGTTGAAATACCAAAAATAACCCTTGATATTTTAGAGATGTAGACATGTACTTAAAAGAGGGTAATATGGTAACACTCTTCATTCACCTTTTTACATTTTAGCTAGTTTTCTAGAAATACTGATAAAGTTTTACCATGATTTGCTTTTGATTTTGCACATGCTTGTGAAGGAGGGGAAAAAGAGAAGCACAGCTAAATTTTTTTAATCTTTTTACCAAACAAAACAATCATAAAATGTCACTTCAAAATAGATGGGAACCAAATAAAAAACTTCAACCAAACGCCCCTTTAATTATTTACTAGGCCAAACTTGTCATATATACTAGGTCGTTGACCTGATATTTACTACGCCGGAGCTCTGTTATTTACAACCCTAGTTATAATAATCACTGAAATATTTTACATTCAGTTTTGAAGGGTTTAGGGTTTTAAAGAAACAAATTCCCTTTTGTTTGTTTGACAGTTATCACTTACCTCCTCTTGTCTTTGCTTATTCTTCTTCTTTGAATTTCTGTCCGTGGGTGTCGTTGAATTCAGAGAGAGATTTTCCATTGAATCTCTATTTCTGCCTTCAATTGCTTTAACAAGAATGGAAATAAATTTGGGAAAACTCGCATTTGACATTGATTTTCATCCATCAGACAATCTTGTCGCTGCAGGACTCATTACCGGTGACCTTCACCTGTAAGTTCTTTTTTTTTTTTTTAAGGAAAAAAATTCATTTTGTTACTATTTTGTATGCATGGTAATAATGATTATATTGAATTATATGTACCACAGATACCGTTATAGCTCTGATGGCGTCCCGGTGAGGTATAAATTCTGAACCTTTTGTTTTTGCAATTTTTTTTTTTTGTTTCATCACTAATTGCAGCTATACATTTACATTGCAATTGTTTTTTTTTTTTTCAGGCTGTTGGAAGTTCATGCTCACACTGAGTCTTGCAGGGCTGCTAGATTCATCAACGGTGGACGAGGTAATGCACTATATAGTTGTTCATCTTCTTTACCTTTTTTTTTTTTTTTGGTTATTGTATTGTTGGTTTCATGTGGATGACTTTGATTTTGAAATGCTTATTATTATGTTTTGTGTTTTAGCACTTTTGACAGGTTCTCCGGATTGCTCGATTCTGGCTACGGATGTGGAAACTGGATCTACCATTGCTCGTCTTGATAATGCCCATGAGTGAGTTGATTTGTTGCAATTGCATGTTTATCTTAATTTGGCTTATAGAAACACATGTATGCTAATTGCTTCAGTATTTGTATGCGGTTTTTTTGTTGTGCTGCAGGGCTGCGGTCAATAGATTGGTAAACTTGACCGAGTCAACCATTGCCTCCGGGGATGATGAAGGTTGTATTAAGGTAACTCGTTACTTCCATTTTGCATTCTTAGCAGTTGTATTTGCTCTGGAGTCTGGATTCCAGATTATGTTGTGGAGTGCATTAATAGTATTTGACACAGATATTCATTCATTTTTATGATAGTGGTAAACAATAAACTACTCTCTAATTTTCAACTATTGCAGCTTTTGCCCAGTTTATAAATCAGTGTCTAACCATCACTTCCTCATTGTCATTCAAATATCTGGACCACAATGCTCCCAATAGCCTAATAATTATTGCAATCCGCTCATCTATAATCCCTTGATTTCTTACATTTTCCCCTGTTCCGTTTTTATCGCAACAAATATATAGTAAGAGTGTAATTGTAAGGTGGTCTAACATACAATTACTTATGTTTTCAACACTTAGTGGTAAGGTGCAAATAATAGCCTTTCCTCTGGGCATTCCTTATTCTAATACTGTGTCATTTTTCCTTCTTTTTTTTGTTACTAATTCTTTTATACTTTTAGTGTTTGTCATTTTTTAGTAACTGTTCCTTCTAGTTAAAGCATCCATTACTGTTCTGAAGACGGTTGCAATATTGATGTTGTGGAGTTATGGATAGGATCAGACAATTAGTGTTTCGTTAGTGCTTTTCATTTAGCTCTTCCATCTTGTAGGTATGGGATACCAGAGAACGCACTTGTTGCAATTCATTTGATGTCCATGAAGATTACATTTCAGACATGACTTTTGTATCTGATGCAATGAAACTGTTGGCAACAAGGTATGAAATTCAGTAATATTCTTCACATGCCCCCAAATATCAATGGATAGAAAAAAAATTACACCCTAGTTACTGATTGTAAAAATCTATTCTACGCTTTCTCGTTGAGAGGGATATCAAATTGAGTTATGATTATAAAATCTTGATGTTGAAAGAAACAGTAAGTGCAAGATAATTCTATATTTTAGGTTTGAAATTCTTATGTCAAGGTATTCCCCCTCTCAAGTTATTTCCTTATTGATTTATCGAAATAGAAAAAAAACAAAAAAACTTTTGGTAGATAGTAATAACTAATTGCTTTAGAAATAATATTATGTTTTCTAACTATGGTGGTTTCGTATTGACTAGCTGGTCTAGTCCAAATTTTAATAGCAAAGCTTGGTCAATCCCTTAGCTTACGTGGTAGGGTTTTAACTTTGAGAATAAATTCTTTTTCCCATTTGAACAATGAGGAATGTTATATTTACTACAATTTTAGGCTTACTACTCTTACTACCTGATTGATTACTGTTTGATCAATTTGAAATCAACGATTAAAAAATGGGAAAAATTAATTGTTGTTAATTTCAAATTGATCCAACAGTAACCAATCAGGTAGTAAGACTAGTAAGCCTAAAATTGTAGTAAGTATAACCGCCCCCTTGAACAATATAGTCATAAGTGTTAGCATCTACAAAGGGTAGGGTGCAAGCATTTTGCTCTTAGTACTTATTGAACTAAAGCATGACCTAGCTATGCTTTAATTTTTTACTTTCTTTCACCTTATACCCACAATAATCACCTTGGTGCTGACAATTACTTAAATCATTTTCACATTTTTAACAAGGGTGTTTTTCCTTGTTTATAGAAAATATATTTACTAGAGAGAAAAGAGGGGACACTTTATTTAGATTATTAAGCTGGTTTGCAAATTTGGTGAGACTTTTGGGGAATATCCAATTTGCAATGATGTTATCCGGTGGTTTATTTTTTAATTTTTTTTGTTTTAAATTTCCTGTGTTGTGTATGCCCCGTCAACAGATAAATTCCCTTGCAATATGCTTCATGAATAACATTTTGTTTCTCAAATTCTACTTTCTTTGACTTATCAATGTAGTCTAAATTCTTTTCTTTCTTTTCTTTTTTTAAATTTCCTTTTGTTGTTTAGTGGAGATGGGACTCTGTCTGTTTGCAATCTTCGAAGAAATAAAGTAAGTTGTATATCAGTGTTGCATAAACTCTCCGATGGGACTCTGTCTGGTTCCTTTTGAAGCATAAACTCTTTTTATTTGTTGCATTGGAATTTTAACCTATCTTTTCCTGATTTATTGACAGGTCCAAGCTCAATCTGAATTTTCTGAAGATGAACTATTGTCTGTTGTTTTAATGAAGGTATCATAGTCATAGTAGTAACCATGACTTTGCTGTGACCTTTTATGCTTTTGTAGGATTTTTTTCTTAAAATGTTTCTATGAAAAATAGCTATTAAAGGGGAAATTTAATTAAAAAAGTTTTTTCTGTTTTTGTTCTTGTTAGAAATATAACTTCAAAATATAAAACAATTCACCTGTCTTCACTCTTCACCTAACTAACAACTTAAGTGTTTAGGAGAGTTGGGCTTTATATTTTGTGGTAACCTTCAGGGCCAAGGCCCAAAACAAGATAACCTACAAAGAAGATTTTTGGGAGTAACAGCTCCCAGCACATCAGCCATGAACTCTCCCATTACTGTGTCGGGGGGTTCTCAAACACTTTCATCCCTAGATCCTGTCTGACTCATGTTGGCCAGCCCTTCCATACACTTGTTTCCTTCCCTAACTGTGTGAGTTACTCGATGCCACCTTCCTTCCTTCAGGAAGCTCCATTTTCCTCTGTGTATTTGTCTTCCTGCCAGACTGCCCACACTTCTTTCCTTCAATAATTGAACCACTGCTTGGCTATCAAGCTCCATCTATATCCTTTGGTATCCCAATTCCTTGGCTAATTTCAGGCCCTCCCATGCTCCCCATAGTTCTGCAACATAGGCATTGTTCGTCTCAAGTCCCAGGCAAAACCACTAATCCACTGCCCCCCTGTTGTCTCTAGTTAATTCTCCGCACCCTGCATTGCCTTCTTGTCCTTTGCATACCCCATATGTGGTTGTAAAGAACCAATTCAACCCAAAAGCTTAAGCTGTTGGGTGAAGGTCTTTTTAATAGTTTATATTATTCTCTAATACACTCCCTCAAGCAAGAGCCCTTTGGACTTGAAGCGTGGACATTTCATAGGCCCAATTTTGGTTTACCTTGTGCTTATTTAATTCTACTAGAAAGTAGGGGGCGGTGAAGATTGAACTCGTGGCCTCGTGGTCACTAAAGTTCTGATACCATGTAAAGAATCAATTCAACCCAAAAACTTAAGCTGTTGGGTGAAGACTTTTTTAATGGTTTATATTATTCTCTAGCAGTGTTTACGTTGTCCCAGCCTTCCTCAAGGGTCATCCACTTGAGAGTTATGTTCTCCTTATTATTCCTGACAGGGAAGTCCTTAATCTTTGATCCCTATTGACAATTTTGATTCTCCATTTCCCTATTGCTTGTATTGGGTTCAGAGGCCTGCTAAATTCATCATCAAATGTTGTCCTATTCCTCCATTTCCACAGCAATCAGCACATGACAGCCTATATCTTCTGCTAAGCTTCAGTACTTACCTTACCCATCCTATTTGCCAAATTATATTTGACCCACTCCTGAATCTCTCTCATGTAAAATTTGGCTCTGCAATGTGGAGGGATCAGCTGGCTCCAAGTCACCAGTGCCACAGGACAATCTCTTTGGAACATGGATAACTGTTTATTCCACATTTCTGCAATACTCACAATTCAGACTCATTCTAGACCACTTGCTAATTCTGGCTTTGGTGTTTAACATCCCATGCGCAACCAACCAAATAAAGTATCTTACCCTTTCTGGTCCCCTTATGCCTCAGATCTTTTCCAGCAAAAGTTACTCTCATATCTTCCTCCTTTCACAAGTATGTATGCACTCTTTATCCTAGACCACTTGCTAATTCTGGCTTTGGTGTTTAACATCCCATGCGCAACCAACCAAATAAAGTATCTTACCCTTTCTGGTCCCCTTATGCCCCAGATCTTTTCCAGCAAAAGTTACTCTCATATCTTCCTCCTTTCACAAGTATATATGCACTCTTTATCCCATCCTCCTCTGCATCCCTACTCATTGGAACTATCGGGTGGATTTTAGCTTCAATTCCCTTGTCACCACTTCATTTAGCAGTCTCCAGTTCCACTCTCCTTCCCTTTGCTACTCCATCACCAACTTTATAGCTTAGCCTATGATCCTGTAGCTCCCTCACATGCTCCCTCAGAACTACCCGATCTTTAATCCTTTTGTCATTTCAAAAGGATATTTGCTTTCCTTTCCCCACATTCCATTAGGTGTTCCTTTACATTAAAACCAGGTTCTAGTAATTCCCTTCCAAACCCTTGAGTCCCCCTTTCTGGCCTTAGGTGAATCGACCAGCTCCCCTCCCCTACTATATTTACCTTTAAGAACCTCAACATTACCTCTCCTCCGCTGGGGGATTGTTTTCGTGTGGTAATACCCAAGTGTTCCTATCCTCATCTCTTATCCATTGGGTTCTGGCTTTTTGATGCTATAGTAACTCCTCTTGATTCAAAATTCCCTGCAGCTCCTCTTTCTGTTTTTCTAGGAACATGTTCCTTCTGTTTAGGTTAGTCTATTTCCTCAGAATCCCCCCTGACCTCGCAAGTACATTGTTCTTCCTTCTTCTTATATTACCAAATGCAGCCTTATTTCCATTCCCTCAAAATCTCTGCTGTGTTCCTCTGTTTCTCTGTTTCTCATTGATATGCCCATTCACTCCCTAAGCCTTCTCAACCGTCTATTTATACATCTCTTGTACTATTGAAGCCCTCTCAAATCTGAAAGGGTTTACATTCACTGGTCTTCTATACTCATCTCGTTGTAAAATGAGGATAAGGTGGTGACCTGAGAACATCACCCTGGGAAGAACCTCAACAACAGCTTCTTCAAAGGATAACCTTCACTCTACATTCGCCAGTACTTCGTCTAGTCTTTTGTAGACTCTGTCCAACTATTGAGTCTTTTAATTTCTTGCTTTTTATTAACAATATATGTTTTATTTCTACTGTCACTTAAAATACTTTATACTTTGGCCCAAAAAATTTAAAGTGGTTTTTAACTAAAAAGCTAATATTAAGATTTTACAGCATGGCGCAACAGGCTATTAGTCAATGTGTTTCTTTGTTACCTTTGTACTGAAAGATATACTGTGTTTGACACACGAATCATCTTCTAAAATAATCACATGGCTGATGTTTACATTTTTTGGCCGAGTGATCAGAATGGTAGGAAAGTTGTATGCGGATCACAAACTGGAATCCTTCTATTGTATTCATGGGGATGCTTCAAGGATTGCAGGTACATGATGTGGAATATGTCACGATTACATGATGGAAATGATTCTGTTTATGGAGGAGATACATTAATTGGATATTCTCTTTCTCTTGGATTTCTAATTCTACCTTTTATATTGATGTTCTTGCTAATGGCTTCAATTCCAGCGATCGATTTATTGATCTCTCTCCAAACTCTATTGATGCTATGTTGAAGGTGAGTTGATAACATAAAATGATTATTTCAGTATCAGCAGGCTTAACCATTCTTAGGTCTTGCACTAATTTTTTTATGTTTTATATATATTCTTTTTATCTTAGCTTGATGAAGATAGGATTATTACTGGATCAGAGAATGGGATTATCAAGTGAGTATTTTGCAGTTTGAGAGCATTGTACCTCTTTGTTTGGATCATATTTCAATCTTTTATTTCTGTTGTTCACCGTTTCATTTATATGTTCTTTTTCATATTCAGCTTGGTTGGGATATTACCAAACAGAGTCATCCAGCCAATTGCAGAGCATTCAGAATATCCTGTTGAGCGACTTGGTAACATATAGTCTCTTCCTCTTCTCTCAGCATTAAATGTGGCTGTTTTGGAATCTATTGTTTTAAGCCTCAGTTTCTTCACAATTAGTTCTATAGTTTTCATGTCCCAATTCATTTGCTGTGCTGAGGTGATTTTGAGCATTCATCTATGATTTGTACTGTTTTTCTCATTATAGTGTGCTCAGGCACTAACATGCATTTTTATATGTTTTCTTGTTTTTTCTTTTTCCTTGCTTCAAGTAAGTTTAACTTACATTTTTCTTTGGTCTGGTAGCGTTCTCTCATGATAGGAAGCTCCTTGGCAGTATTGCACATGATCAAATGTTGAAGGTACTTCTCTTATTTCTCCAAGAATTAATAGAAATTGTTTCCCTGGCTGTATTAATTTTTGTCAATTGGCACGCATATACTAGGCATTCCTTATCATGATTATAACTTTAAAACCCTATCTCGTCATTTTATTGGGGCTTCTCAACTTTTCTCAATAACAATTGCCTTAAATATAAAGGTGACTCAAAATAGTTAGGATTTTGAGTAGAATTAAATGATTTCCACCAAAGTGCTGATATTGTAAGGTAAGATTTAGCAATATTAATTGATGTGTCTTGCAGTGGTGTTGTTGAATTAGGATGAGCATTTGCGAATAAAAAGAGGACAAATGATGGCATGCAATAAAGTACATATGCAATAAAGTACATAAGTCTGCTTAGGTATAAGACACGGAATTTTGTGCTTATAAATTTATAATGATGGTTATTTACGATAAGTTAATTATTTGGATGGGGTGCTGTAATAAGTTATAATTTGCTGCTTACAAATGCTGGACAAAACACACAGCAAGTTGGGCATGTAAACGTGGAGAAGTTAAATCAGTCAAATTCATCAGATGGTCCATGGATCTTTAAAAAAATAAAATAAAGAACATATATTTTAACATACTAGTTGGATGAAATTGCAACAGTTTGGCTTAAAATGTTGCCTGTCAATCCGTTAAGGTGTCCTAACATTGCAATAATGGAGGGTGGATCACTTTTAAAAATGTGAAAACCATTGGTTGCATGTAGTCTGTATATGTATGTATTTTCACTATTTTGTACAGATTACATTAATAAATAAGTTGTCTGAACATCCAACAACATTTTTCTTTTTGTGCAGCTATGGGACTTGGATAATATACTACAAGGTTCAAGAAGCACACAAAGAAATGAAGCTGGAGTGGTTGACAGTGACAGTGATGAGATGGATCTAGATGATGATCCTTCTAAGTTTGGTAAAGGTATAATTTGATTTCTATAAATGTAAATGTTATTGATTGGCCATCGCTAAGCATATGGTATGGTTATTGGAAGGCTTATGTATATCTTGTACTTCATTGATTATACCTTTGCAGGGAACAAGACAAAGAGTGCAAGTAATGGGCATGTCCTAGGTGATTCAAACAACTTCTTTGCAGATTTATAGGAGATTGTGGATGCAACTTTGTTCAAGTGTGATAACCCAATTAGAAACACTTGCAAGTGGGATTTCCTGATCAATATCTTCAAGTTCAAGGCGCCCTCTCCAAAAATGTATACTTAATTAAAGGCCTTGTCCCGTGGATAGCTTTTCGGTGTGTTATGTCATTTTTTTTTCCTCCACCAATATATGAAAGTAATTGTTAAGACTTTTGGACACTCTTGAAATAAACTATGGTGATAATTACATTTATGTTAAGTTATGAAATATAATAATCATTTTGTTGTCATTTTGATGCCGAAAACGCATAGAAAAGTGGCTAGACAGAAAGTTGAGATTTTTTCAAAAGAGTAACCCTCCGATTCTCAATTTCTATTAACAAAATATCAAAATTCGACTCTTAGAATAAGGGTCATAAACACCCTTTTATAGACTAATTACAAATTGATTCAAAATTCAAAAATCTAAAATTCTAAAAATAATAAAACTTCCTAAAATAAATAAAAATAATTAACATCTAAAAAATAAATAAAAAATTACAAATAAATAATTCAAAATATATTCCAAATCTTTAATCTCAAATCATTCCAAATATGTTGTTTTCCTTTTCTTCCCAAACAAATTACAATCACATTTGCTGCTTTATTGGGACTTGGATTCGATTGTAATTTGTTGTATTTCAAATCATTGCCTCTTTCAACAACTGAACCATATTTATTAGGCCACAACTTTAGTTGACTACGAGCTTCTTCAATCAATGGTTGAGCCATGTACAATGAGCCAACTGTGAGTGCATCATTCTCCTTTGCTCGTTCCTGAATCTTGTTTATCTCTACTAATATCAATTTCTTTGGACAAAAACTCATGATAAATCCTCTTCTTTTAAATCTCCATAATTTGATTCTCCATCAGATTTATCATAGACTAGCTTATCATCATAAACTGAATTTTCATCATAAGATGGATAATCATAATAAATGGGATAATTATCAACAATCGGATAATCATCATAAATTGGATTATCATCATAGATCGGAATGCTGATTTGCATCTCGATATCTTGAAAAGTGGACTGATTTCCAGGTCGTACTTCCCAATTCTGTCCTTGGTTTAGAATCCCCAAGGGATTGACGTCCTCTTCTTCGTCATCAGATGCGTCATCTAATTCCATTCCTTCTTCGGATTGAATGGCCAACTTTGTCCACGCAAGTCGTCGCTCCAAATATTGACTTTCCATGCTCTGCACCTCCATAAGAGTTTGCTTCAAAATTTGAATTTTCATGCATACCCGCACGATTCGTCACTCCAAATCTTGAATTTTCTTTCTTTGTGGCCGCACACATAGTTGTTTCAAAACTTGGATTTTCTTGTCCAACGCTTGCTCAAGTTGTTCCTTCAAATCCTGGATCCGCCTTCCGAGCTCTTCATTTTCTATGTCTCGCGAGTCAATCTGACGCAGTTGTCTATATTCTTCAGGAACGAATCCACGTTCCCTACTCTTGTGACTCTGCTGTCGTCGACCTCCACGATTCTGTTTAGCCATTGGTTGAAGGCAACCTAGTGCTCTGATACCAAATGATGCCGAAAGCGCATAGAAAAGCGGCTAAACAGAAATTTGGGATTTTCTCAAAAGAGTAACCCTCCGGTTATCAATTTCTATTAACAAAATATCAAAATTCAACTCCTAGAATAAGGGTCATAAGCACCCTTTTGTAGACTAATTACAAATTGATTCAAAATTCAAAAGTCTAAAATTCTAAAAATAATAAAACTTCCTAAAATAAACAAAAGTAATTAACATCTAAGAAATAAATAAAAAATTACAAATAAATAATTCAAAATACATCCCAAATCTTTAATCTCGAATCATGGCAAAAAAATTAATTTATTACTTTTTTAATAAAAAATTACGAATAAGTAGTCGTTTTGCAAAATATTACGAATCTATAGCACCCAAACACGCCCACATGGGGCGTGTTGTCATGGAGAGAGACACGCCCACGTGGGACGTGAGCTACTGAAGGGGACACGCCCAATGTAGGCCGTGAGTGGCAGGAAAGAGACACACCTGTTATGGAGCGTGAGCTGTGATGGTAGACACGCCCAACATAAATGTCTAAAGAGATGGGCGAGAACCGCAGACCCCCAACTGTATCCGCCAATGTCCGTAAAGTCCCATGCAAGCAGTGGAACGTAACGACAAGCAATTTTGCTGCCACCTGATCTGTCACACACTAACCATGAGCCTAATAGCCGCAAAATGTGTGCCTTGGTGTAACGCCTCACCTCCTCAGGATTGTGTGCTACTGTAAACCAATCAGCATATATCCTGTCTAAGTAAGAAATACGTAGATCGCCTCCGTGAATGTCTGTGCCCGCAACAGGGGCAGTCCCAAAAACCTGCTGACACATAGCAATCCAATCCAACGTTGTAGATCCGGTAACTGCCTGCCCGTCAGTAGGCAAACCAAGTATACCAGCCACGTCCTGTAATGTACGGTCATCTCTCCCTGCGTCATGTGAAACGTATGTGTCTCCGGTCTCCAACGCTCAACCAAAGCAGAGATCAAGGGGGTATCGATCTGAAGGAAAAACAACAATTATACAAAGTCCACATACGGTAATTTAATTAAGTAATTTAAAAATTACATACCTGAATATGACTCATACGTGCCACGTGTATGAACCCAGCCTGTGTCAAATAGTCAGCGACAACGTCTGGTATATCATCATGATGGGGTCCCCCCTGAAGTTTCCTTCGCCTCGTCTTTAACCCCCTGACCTTATCCTCGTTCCACATAACTTGTGAAAGGTGACTGCCCTGTGTCCTCTTACGGAGTACCTCCCACCTATATGGGCCAGGAAGTACATGCGTACAAGGATCGGATGGCTCAAGATCACCATGAGATCCAGAGCGCGAGGACTCTGATGAAGACGAATGGGCCATAATAGAATACTACTACAAATGAAAAAGATGTACCCAAATTACTATTGATATTATATTAATTTACACTAAATAAAATGTAATTGCACTTAATTAAATAGCATTTAACTAACTTCAATTGTTATATTAATTTCAATTAAATTAACATCATTGACAATTAATTCATTTAACATTACATTATTCTAAAAATATATTTCAATACATTAAATAATTCAAATTAAAATTAAATTAATATTGCATACGATATTCTTTTTTTACAAACCCTAATTATAATGTGGTTAATTGAAATGTCAATATGTTTGCAAGTGTCATTCATAAAAAAATATTTATTGTCACAAACTAATTTCTAAGTGTGTAAATAAGTCATAAAACCAACATATACCAATTTAGAAGTAACTAATCAATTTTTAAGTCCATATCTAATACCTAAGTCACATCACAATTCTCTTACATAGGTCACTAATATTTTTCTAACCCCCTAACAATTAAATAAAGTCACAAATATTTTTCTAACCCCCTAACAATTATCTAAGTCATTAATAACTATCATATATTAATTGTTGTTAATAAAAAAATAAACAATAAATAGGGACTTACATGAGAGAGAGACAGAGCTTCGCTGCGCAAAACCCTCCAAAAGCAATGTAGAGAGAAGGAGGAGGAGGAGGTTTAGAGAGAGGATGGGAGGGTGGAAATGAGGTAAAAAAGTGAAAAACCCATATATATAGACCACGGAAAACACGCCCATCAGGGGCGTGTCTCTCTCCTGCCACACAAGCCCTAAGTTGGGCGTGTCCCCTTCAGTAGCTCACGCCCCACATGGGCGTGTTTCTCTCCATGAGAACACGCCCCATGTGGGCGTGTTTGGGTGCTATAGATTCGTAATATTTTGCAAAACGACTACTTATTCGTAATTTTTTATTAAAAAAGTAATAAATTAATTTTTTTGCCCTCAAATCATTTCAAATATGTTGTTTTCCTTTTCTTCCCAAACAAATCACAATCACATCTACTGCTTTATTAGGACTTGGATTCGATTGTAATTTGTTGTATTTCAAATCATTGCCTCTTTCAACAATTGTGCCATATTTATTAGGCCACAACTCTAGTTGACCATGAGCTTCTTCAATCAATGGTTGGACAATGTACAATGGGCCAAGTGTGAGTGCATCATATTTCCTAATCCATATTTTTTACCCTGTTTCATTGAAGTTCCAATTTTAGGGTCGTGTAATCTGTTTATCTTTTGAGATGCCTTGGAGCAGGTTGTCCAATGGTTTAACCAGTTGTAAATTGCAATTCCGCAGGGTGGCTATGATAAAATACAATGGAACTCCGTATAGATGGAGCCCCTTCAATAGTGCATGGCCTTATCAGATAATGAAATAATAAGAACTTATTTGTGTCAATGTATGTCAGAATTCTGAAAGAAAAAAACTACTCAAAGTTTTTAATAGTAAGAAACATAATTGAATTGGCAACTCGTCTCAAAGAGATAATTAGGGTTGGGTAACTCCAAAAAAAAAAAAAAAAAAAACATAATTGAAGTTTTCTTTTTCTCTTTTTGGTTATAGTTACGTGTATGAATACGAACGAATTATTATGGAGGTTTTCATGACAGATTTTTTAAGGCAAAATCTTACTCACAAATACAAATCACATTAATCAAATATATTCCTAAAAATCTTTATTACTAATAACGGATATTGGTTATACAAATGATACAATTCTCTGTTTGGCCATAAGTTTTTTAAGAATGAAAATTCTAGTGAAGAATTAAACAAAGAGAATAGAAACCTTTGAGTTTGTGTTGCGTTCTTCCACGTTTGTATTGTAGATAATTCTTTTTCTTTTTCTTTTTGGAAAAAGTATGTTAGATAATTCTAACATCCCAAATCTTCAACCGTTCAAAAACTAATATATAATAGTGAAATTATCAAAATTACATTTTAACTATTTATTATTAAATAAAATTGCGGAAGCTAATTTAAAATTTATTTGGGAAATATTATTGTCGCACATGTAATAAAGATAAGTGTAAGACTAAATTTTCAAAATACTAATTCTAAAATATATATACTATAATTATTAAAATTGTAAAAAATAAATACACAAAAATCATAATTTTTGCTCTAACCTGAAATGATGAAGACGTTAATGTTCATTGTTACCCCCACTGGCGGACATAGGGATTTTAATACGAGGGGCAAAAAATAAAAAATACTATATCATAAATAAAAGTACTTGAAATACAATACAAATTTAATATACAAATAATTGAAAGAAATCTATTACAGAAATTAATATCACTTCACTTACTCTTGCTCTACGTGT